CCTTGACTACTTGATATCCAGCCCCATTTAGAAGCAAACTGAGGCGGCCTGAAGGCTGACTTCTTGGCTTGCATGAATGTTCTCCAAAAATGACCAGACATGACCTGTTGGTTTCCCATGGCAACATTTGTTGTTTGAGGTCCCCAGAGGTGAACGTTTTTCGAGGTCCTTTGGGCGAGTGATCGATGGGCCAGGCGCGCAGGGAGGCACGTCCCAGACTCTGGCAAGGCCGGACATCAAGGACTGAGAGGGTCAACATCCACCAAACGCGGCAGGTGGTCGGTGGTGTAATTATCCCAGTATTCTCAGGGCTTCATTCTAAATGTTTCCGCTCGTTGGACTTGGGCTGTTCAATGCTTGGGGCTGCACGACTCGCCGGAGGACGTTTCAATCCTCATGATGACATCTGGCACAACTGGCCGGCCGAAGACCATCGCATGCAGTTGGCTCCTTATTTCGTCAAGGGCATAGAGACTGCCCTGTCTCACATGTACAAACCGCGTGTCCGGTTTGTGGCATAGCGTTTACATGCTGAACGAATGAATGAAATTCGACTAAAACTAACCCTGGATTAATCAACATCACCTGGACCTTGAAACTCCGGCACATATCTGGGTGTTTTTGGAGACCCCTACAATTTACTGAATTCCAGTGGTTTAGCACAATGGGGGCAAAAACACACACGAGTTGCGTCGTTTCCAGTCGCGCATTGGCCATCCAAAGCAAATACACCTCGCAGCACTGGCCAATGTGCCAGTAAACACCGACTTTTTTTGATTTGCGGGAGTTGGCTTTTGCGGTCAAAATGGGTACGTTTTTTTTGCACCCAACAACTTTGGACCGCCGTTGCATGTTTAAGCCGTTTATTCCTCAAAGCTTCCTTTAATTTGTCAAAGGCTGCGAGCATTGCAATAGTGTGCTTTTAGGAGTTTTTGGGAGTTTCTGTTTTTTGCGGCAAAAAGTGCTACGATTTCCCGAATATCCAGTCAAAGGCGGAAACTACGTTTTGTTTTTTGTTTTGTTATTCTCAGGAGGACGAAGGTCCAGGCAGTCTATTAATAGGGGGGTGCCCTGGGTTTAGTGGGGAGTCATCTCTTTTGGAGGGAACACCCTGTAGCACAGGTTTGTTTGTTCGGGGTCAACACAACAGAAGCGCTTGAGGCCACTTCGCCATGCACGTGGGCGCGCGCGCAAAGGCGATCCGGAAGCCGGATATGCACATTGATTCCCTTGGGTTGAATGGCAGGGGAGAGGGGATCGCAAAATTCATGTGGTTTCGTTTTGGCTTCCCCTCGATCCATAGGGTCCATGATTTTGAGCAACACCCAGGACGGGATTGAAGGCTTTCGCCATTCCATTTTCAAAGGCCCCAAAGTAGATGCAGACACACTGGGGCGGGTGATTGAGGAGATCAACGATCCTGAGATTTGTGCGTCTACCTTGGTACGTGTTCAAAACACAAAACCCGGGCTTTTGCTCATGCGGATCAGAAAAGCGGGCCGCCATCTTCACAGGTGTCGGACGGGGTGAAGCAGTGAAGCACCTATACCGGAGAGGGCTTCCAATTGGCCATACTTAACCAGGTTCGGTCATGGACCAAACGTCAACGGGCCGAGGGGCTGCTCGCTCTACAGACACAGGCCCACAGGCTTAAACACAGGAATTCTACTTACCCCCAGTTTGTAGAAGCAAGAAGCAGGTATGGGGTTTACTGGGCTTGGCTTTTGTCAGGAGTTGGAGACGCCGTACCAGAAGGACGACTGCAGAGAGGCACTGCGCATGGATTCTAAGAGCTGAAGCACGTACCCCCTTTTGTACGCGCCCCTGAACGGTCTGTTTGTTTGGTCTGTGTGTGTGTGTGTTGCTTTTGGGCGGGGGAAAGCAGGGATTTGCTTGAGAGATTGTTTTGTGCCATTACATTTGTTTTACCAATGTGCTTAGCTGACACAAGAGGTTCAGTCAGTTTGACTGTCCCGGTTCTGGAAGCGCTGCATTTGATGTTCTAATGGGAGAGACAATGGGAATATAATTCAGAGCTCTTGTTTGGTGGCTGTTTGATTCTGGTTTGGAGCCCAGCTGCGTTCTGATGGAAAGTTGCACGCATGAGGTGAGCCAAGAGCCGTTAACCTTGGTGAGCGCTCGCAGGCCTACAACGTGATGTTTGTATGGGAAGTGATGAGGCGGGATCTTCTGACAATGTTTTAGGGCCCTCCAAATGTTTCCTTTGACTGCCCCGCTTAGCGCTCGAGAGACTGCTGTTTGGATGGGATCAGATTCTCTGGTCCATGCGGAGGGGGAGTCCTATGTTCAACGGTCAGTCAGAAATGAACAGGCTGGAGATGGTCTTTTTGGAGCACGCATGACAGGTCCCCGCTGCTGGGACACACAGCTTACCTGCTGCCAGATGAGGACGGGAGCATCGAAGCAAGGCGTGTCTTGTTTTTTGAGGAGCCCCTTGGTTCATTTGAAAGGCAAACCAATGAATTCGCTCATAGTGGGCCACCAGCACCATGTTGAGATGGGACTAATATGGGATCCAGATGTCGGATCAGCTTGGTTGTTTGCTCCAAACGCTGTTCGCATAGAAGTTGATTCAGGTCGAGGAAAGACAACATGATGAGGTCAGCTGCTATTGCACGCACCGCACGTGGTGCTTGTGCCTAGAACAACATAGCTTGAAACAAGTGGCAGCCGAGCTGCCACGCAAGCTCTGGCCAAGCCAGGAAATCATTTGCAGCCAACAGTAAAGGTTACTAGCCCATGGCTTCTTGAAATTGATTCTTGTGTATATTGGTATAAAATGTATATTACATATACATATATATATATATACATTATAAACATATACACATGGGGCTAATATGGCTGAGTCTTGGCAAGGCCAGAGCTGAAGTTCATAGCCAACATGGAGGGCCCGGATTCAACTGCTTCGCTTCCCGTCGAAAACCGACCAATACAGGGCCCGCAGTTTCGGGCACCAGCATTGAATCCCACCCGCAGGCGACGCTGGATCCGCAAATCTTTGTGAAATTCTTGGAGACGCATGAGTGCAGCAGAACCTTGACGACGCCTTCCCTTTTGGCAACTCGGCTCCGGCACTTTGCTTTCGCATCATGCCATCTCAGGAAAACAGCACCTCGAGATGTAACAAATGCGCAGAGTGTTGGCTGTAGGCCACCATCATGGACTCCTGCCACAAGGCTCGACTGCCGTGTTCCATTTGGACTATGGCGTTTCCAGCATGCGCTGTCGCAAGCCGAAGTCGAGTGCAGGACTTGACCGTGCGGCTGCACGCCATGCGATCCTGGTTCATGTGTGGCGAGGCGCGGGCACTCTGAGCTCGCGAGCGCGAGCGAGCGGCATACGGCTGGTGCTAGAGTTGCCACGTTCAACAAAAGTCTCTGAAAGTGAGATGGAGAGGCATCCCTTTGGTGTCAAAAGGCTGTTTTTTGCGGCTCGGCTTTTCAGCGACAGGCCAGGTCGCGCGATGTATAGACAGATTTCATGGGAGTCGGGAGTTCTGTTCAGCGCAGGTGCTGCCTATGAAGGTGGTCTGGCCCCTAATTGCCGAGTTGATCAAAAGGTCATTTGCACGGGACCCTTGGCATCCTAAACTTTCTGATTCTCCACGCAAGAGAATTGATTCAATCGAGCTGGCATGGTTCTTGGAGCAAACCAATTGGTTTATGTTTGCGTTTAAATCAACCTGGCATGGTTTTTGGGGCAAACCAATTGGTGTATTTTTGCTGGCAAGCCAACGGTCTGGTTTGCCACATGCTGCCCGCCCGACCCGTGTGTGTTTTTGAGGTTCACAGCTTCAGACAGATGCTGCCGCGGTGCCGCTGGCATTGCTGAGGGCCACCTGTGGGGTCCGCAAAAGGGCTGAAGAAATGAGCCAATGTGGCCATTTGAATCTGTTGCCCGGATTGATGCAGAGTGATGCCGACTACAGGTTTGGTTTTTGTGCGGCTATCATGTTCTGCAAATGGTTGTTTGAAGGGATTCTCGTTTTTTCACGTGCAAGACAAGCCCTCGATTTTGCACTCTGCCAGCATTTAGGGGGGCTTTGGGGGGGGCTTAAGTGACGCACAATTGGTGGAACATGTATTAGTTGCCGATTTGGCGTTCCAGGTGCAAGCTGGTCAACGACTACTCCACTTGGGAGAGTGGTGACATTGGCGGGCGCCTGAAATATTGGCGGTGTCTCTTTGTCGGGGTACCCCTTTTCAGGCTGAAACTGAAGGGAAACTACTACTACTACTACTACTACTACTACTACTACTACTACTACCACTACTACTACTACTACTACTACCACCACCACCACCACCACCACCACCACCACTACTACTAAGTATTCACCGATGTTTGCCAACATCCGCATCCTACCCATTTCCGAACTAGACCATTTTTGTTTGCTTTCCTTCCCGCTGCAGGCAAGTGCCAGCATGGATTTGCTTTCTTCTCGCGAATCATACCCCGAATCATACCCCCACAAACAACTTCCAGAGACAGACCATCCGTGAGGCTACGCACAGGTGGCTCCAGCCGGCAGATACGAGCCCAGCCAGGCCGGAGTGGGTGGCACGTCTTTTTGTTGGTAGGGGTTGGAGGGGGAGAAGGTAAACTGAAATCCAAAGAACGGGGTGCATACTTTGACGACACACACGCCATTGTTGGCGTGTCACTTTTTGGGACTCCCCAAAATGGATTCAGTCGTCCTTAAGATACGCCCAACTGGTGGTGTTTTCTAAGTTTCCCTTTAAAACCATAATTGACACAAGAACAATGTGTGTAGCATCTGAAGGGGACCCGTTTGTTTGAACCCATCAAAGGTCACCCAATTTGTGGAAATTTGGCATTGCACTCTCGGACTCGCTCAGACGTCATATGGACCTGAAGCTATCGGCTGCAGCCCAGTTTGTTTTGTTACGATGCTTCACTCGTGCTACCATGCTTGTAGCCGCGGATGCCAGTGAACATGCTGCGTACCGTGCAGTGTGCTGCTGGGTCCCAGATTATAGACATGGAATTGGGGGAGGGGCACCCAAGAGTTCCATTTATGCTTCCGTTTTTTTGTTTATGGGGAAGAAATAAAGGTTTTTTTGGGATGAGTGGCAAGGTTTGCGTATTCAATCCGGACTTCAGGGTTCACCATCCGAAATTCTCACCCCCGCCCCCACTCCAGCCCAGCCACCACAGCCGACTGCAAAGAGCACCGCATCAAGGTTATTTTTGAGGTCAAGGGAAACCAGAAGGAGCACCTACCTTTTTGGGGACTCTTTGACATATACCCAGACTTTTTGGTTTTACAGAGGACCCAAGTGACAACTACCCCCATCGGAAGCTGACGGTCCCAAACACTCCTGCACGTTTGTTGGGACCTTGTGAGACTCTGCTTCAATGTCTTTTCGACCCCTCTTTGGTGCATCCTCAGATGCCAAAAGACGCCCTGGAGTATGCAGTATTTGTTTTGGCCAAATCAACTCTTGGTGCATTTTTGCATTTTTGTCTGGCTGTCCATAAGAACCTTGCGCCAAAAACACCTCGTGAGGTCTTCGCGGCGGCGGGGGTGGTGATCGCTCCCGGGGTGTCCGCCTTTATCATCGATCCAGAGACGAAGACCCGGGCCCAGCGAGTGTGGGACGTGTTTTTTGGGTTGAGTAGAGTTAGTTATGTGTGGAAACCCAAAGGAAAACCACCGAACATCTCCAGCACCCCCCCCAACAGCTGCTGTTTCCCATGTCCAAAATCCCAAGTACTGTGAAGCAAGCAGTTGGGGGGTGCAGGGTGGGGTTCCCCTATTCAAACGCCCCAGTTCAACGTCTGTTCAAATCACTCCGGATCCATTTTCGTCGTTTCGTTCACGAACCCGGCGAATCGACTGGGCTCTGGAGATCTGCCTCAAGTTGCCCTTTGGTGGTTTGGAGGATTTGAAGCCCTGGAAAATGGGACACCAGCCCTGAACCACCAAACAAAACCACCAACGGGAGGGCTGGTTCTGAAAGTCTTGTAGGGCAAAATAGGGGGTGCCAAATGGTGGTGTTCCTTTTGGCGTCCCTTTCCAGTGAAGTTTGGGAGGGACAAAGAAAACCGAGCCTTAAAAAGGCCGTCCATGTCCTTGATGGAACCGCTCATTTTGACCGCCCACATGATGCCTGCGGCGCATAGACACATTCAGCTGACTGCACGGCTCCCAGGAAGACACTGCCACGGGGACTGGTCGGAGAGCTCTATGTCGGAGGGGCCGAGGGCTCAGTGGCAGTCGATGAACGAATCTAGGGATGGGCAAACCCAGTGTTTGAATCTTATTGTGAGGCCGCTAGGATCGCGCGGCCTCTAAAGCCATGTGTGCCATGGTGACGAGACTGGTTCCTTTACTTGGGGTTAACAGGGATGGTCATCCACCTGGTAATGCGAATCCTTAAGCATAACGATTCCCGTGAAGGGAATCATGACCATGCCCGAGAAACCGAGTTGTGACCATGGCTCGTATACTTCCTGCAAATGCACACGGAATCCAAAAAGGGGGTCCATTTCCACAGAGGAGATTCCTCTAAGATTCAGCCCAAAGACAATAGGTTCAGATCAGGGTGCTGCTCATTAGATGGCCTAGTGTGAAATGGGTTTCTCTTGTTGAGGTACCCTTTTCATGCTGGGTGTCCACGAGTTTCTCTTCACAACCCCCAGGGGGTACACGCGATTGGCTTTGCTTCAGCCCGTGCTGTCCTACGGCTACCACGGGCAGCCGGAAGCTACGGCTTCCAAGTTCACGGAGGGCGCGAATCCTGAGATGGCGCAGATCTCAGATCTAGAATTTAGCCACATGGGCGTCACATGGGTGTTTGTGTGTGTGGATACAACCATTTGTCATGTTCCTTTTTTTTTGGGGGGGTTGGGGGCTAGTTTTGAGGAAACACGAGCCACAGCCACATTGATTGTGTCACCCCAAAATGCTCAAAACACAGTCCTCATATCTCACCATCTTGGCTATGAGATTGTCAGCCTGAACTTGCGTGCAGAGCACTGGAATTATGATACAGATAGAGTCACCCATTAAGTTGACTTCAGTTGTGTGACTTCCATGCCGTTTGCAGAGCATTGGAATAATTTGTATGGCGACACAAGGCTTGCGACTTGGACAAATCGCTGCAGAGCCACACTTGAACCCTGGGCGATGAAGCTCAGAGGCACAGTCCCAGCCATAAACAGGCCGATATCCGTCCTTTCAATTAGTTGACTTGGTTTTGTGCAGACTCGATGCATACCAGGTTGTGATTGTGACTCAAATCGCCCCCATGACTTAGGTGGCGATGTCGCGGGGAAGCTGGAAGTGGTACAAGACAGGCAGGGTTCCAAAATTCCGATTCCCAATTCGGGCGAAACGTTTTAGGTGGCTCGAATCCTATATACGTGGTTTGTGGGTAATGCTGTGGATGGTTGCGAAATCCATTTCGCACTACCTAAGAAACCCTGGTTTGTGTTAATTCAATGGTTTCAACCACGGTTCCAAAGTTGTGCAGGATTTCGTCCATCCACAGTAGTACAGCCCACTGGGACTTCATGGCCATCTTGGGTTCGGAAGAAAAGTCGTGTCTCGGGCTTCGGGTCACGAGGTGTGTTGATTTGCCTTTTCGGTTTCATGAAGCTCCTGCTGGCCCCTTGAGACCCCGAGAACGCCCCGTGGCGCAGTTGCACAAAGGATGTGGAGCTTGGTCGTGCAAACCTTCGAGTCAGAGCAAGTGAGGTACCAGTGGAGCCGGCGAAGCCGCTGGGCAGAAGGTTCAAACAATTAAGAACTATTGTTATCCTCCCCTTTCTTTTCTTGAAGCTCTTTCAGTTTTTCTGTCCTTCATTGTTTTCATGTTTCCCTTCTTTTCATACCTTTTTCTTGATGTATTATGTCTTTCTGTCAGTCTTTTTTCCTTCCTTCCTTCCTTCCTTCCTTCCTTCCTTCCTTCCTTCCTTCCTTCCTTCCTTCCTTCCTTCCTTCCTTCCTTCCTTCCTTCCTTCCTTCCTTCCTTCCTTCCTTCCTTCCTTCCTTTCTTTCTCTCTTTCCTGCCGTCCTTTCTTTCTTTCCTTCCTGCCTTCCTCTCGTTCCTTCCTTCCTTCCTTCATTCCCTCGAGTCCTTCCTTCCTTTATCTTTCTCTTCCTCTTGCCGTGTCTCTTTTCCTTTTTTTTTCTCCCAATTTGTTCTTATTCTCTGGCCTTTTCTTTCACAAGACATGCCTGACCCTCCCGTGCCGGCCCATCCTCGTTGTCAGCGGACCTTTTTTTGTTCGCTTTCATGGCGGCGTCTATCTTATCTATCTATCCGTCTATCTCTCTATCTCTATCGCTCTCTATCTATCTAATCTATCTATCGATCAATCGATCGATCTATCTGTATATCTATCTATCTATCTATCTATCTATCTATCTATCTATCTATCTATCTATCTATCTATCTATCTATCTATCTGTCTATCTATCTATCTAATCTATCTATCTATCTATCTATCTAACTATCTATCTATCTAATCTATCTATCTATCTATCTATCTATCTATCTATCTATCTATATCTATCTATCTATCTATCTATCTATCTATATCTATCTATCTATCTATCTATCTATCTATCTATCTATCTATCTATCTATCCATCTATCTATCTATCTATCTATCTATCTATCTATCTATCTATCTATCTATCTATCTATCTATCTATCTATCTATCTATCTATCTATCTATCTATCTATCTATCTATCTATCTATCTATCTATCTATCTATCTATCTATCTATCTATCTATCTATCTATCTATCTATCTATCTATCTATCTATCTATCTATCTATCTATCTATCTATCTATCTATCTATCTATCTATCTATCTATCTATGTATCTATCTATCTATCTATCTCTATCTATCTATATCTATCTATCTATCTATCCTATCTATCTATCTATCTATCTATCTATCTATCTATCTATCTATCTATCTATCTATCTATCTATCTAATCTATCTAATCTATCTATCTATCTAATCTATCTAATCTAATCTAATCTAATCTAATCTAATCTAATCTAATCTAATCTATCTATCTATCTATCTATCTATCTATCTATCTATCTATCTATCTATCTATCTATCTAGCTGGTTTGTCTCTGCGCTGGCGTTGCGCGCGACTGGCAGGGCGCAAAATAAATCCAGGCAAACTGCATCTTGGGCCGCCGCATCCGCGTGTAAGAGGAACGAAAAGCGCGGGATTGGTTCTGCGCGAGCTGCCCTACACAACGTCTCCTGTCCCCTCCAACACTGCCGGCTCTTCGCTGTCTCGGTGGCATTTCCGCCCGGAGTTCTTCTTCTCCACGCCGACCGTGTGAAGTGCATAGGCGCAGTTGCCCCACCAGCGCCTGAACCCGTGTCAGGCTGGCACATGCGCACCCCAGTTGGTGATGCCTTTCAACTTTCAACTGCAGAACCTATCTTTCGGCCTTTGCTGGTGTGCGTTGTGACCTGCGGATGGTTCCTCCTCACTACGCCCCACCAGTGCCTGAACCCGGGAAGGGCCTGTCAACTCGCCAGCCCGCTAGCAAAGTTTGCGCATGGAAACATGGGGTGGGTGGGTTCGTTTAGATTTCTGTTGAAACGCCCCCCCCCCCCCAAATTGGCACATTAAGAAAACCTATGCCCCAGATTAACAAGACCTATGCCCCTTTGAGTTTGCAAGAAAAAAGGGGGAAGCCGCCAAGAAACCAATGAGTTTGAGGCAGACCCCTGTCCCAAACTCCAAAAAGAGGAGCCACTTGCCCTGCCTAACTGACCTCGGAGGCGATGCGGCGCGCTTCGTTGGGGACCCGCCGGTGCTGGAGATCCGGGGACGGATCGACAGCACCGTGAAGATCCGGGGCTTCAAGGCGCGGAACGAAGGCCGAAGGTGAGGGATATGGACCCAGCATTGGGTTCTATAGGGGGTCCATGGTTGAAAGACACCCATGTTGCGCTTTCCGTGGGTGGTTTCTATATCCATAAACCGGGGCCTAGGGGTTTCTGTAGTGGCCCCAGGGGCCTTGGGCCTTAGAAGGTTGCTTCACTGCAAGGAATGGGTGTTGTGTGCTTTAAAAAGGTTTTGGGGGTTGGTTTGAAGGAAAAGCAAAATGGAAAACGACCAATTTATTGGAGTGCTGGCCACGACCATGGGTTTGGTTACCTGCTACATGCTTGAAGGTTAAGTCCCTTTTCGGGCGTGCTTCCTTTTTTTGCTTGGTGGGGTGGGGGGGGAAGGTATGGGGAACGGAAATGGAAAATAGAAGTCCATGTTGGGTCCAAAAGGACGAGCCATGCGCTTTTGTCATGCACCCAAAGTCAAGTTTCGGGCCTCAGCGAAGGTTCCTGGTTTCACACCCCATTGCCTTCGCTTGGTCCAGTTCGTGATCCAACATTGGGTGAAGTGTGTTTAAAGTCATGGGGAGTTATTAATCGGGGGGTCCCTGGGTTTAGTGGGGAATCATCAGTTTTGGCGGGAAACACCCGTGATCTGCGTCCTCTTTCCAAAGTGCAAAGGGGTTCGGAAGACAACCATCCACTTGGCCTCAAACCTCTTAACCCAGGTGCCTGGGCAGAGTTGGTAAGTTCTGAGGCCTTACCCACAACCACAATGTACAGGGGCAACACCAAATTCTGGTATCCTACTTTGTCACTTTGTCACTTTGTCCTGTATCTGAGTTAGGTCTTGGCTTTAAAGGAAGCCACGGTCTAAGCCACGTGTTGCTTTTTCTTCGTCCCAGCCCCGCGCCGTGGACCGGGGGGCAACCAACGAACTCGGCTTCGGCGTCGCTGGGCCGAGGTGGGCATCCCCGTGGTGGAGGGCGCCATCGCCTCCATCCCGGGCGTGGCGTTGTGCGCGGTGGTGCCGGTCTTTGAGGCGTCCGGACGGACGCGGCGGAAGCGGCGGGGTCGAAGCCCACAATTCTCGGGGCTGAGTCCTTGGAACCATTCTTTTCAAGCATCGTTCTTTCCAAAAACCGGGGCCGTTTTTTTCCCTCACTTTCGGGAGGGTTAGAAAGAAGGATCCCTGGAAGGAATGGGGAAGGTACCCCTAGAACACTGGCAAGGGAGGCTTTCTCGGGTATCCCGCGCACCCCCCCCAAAAAAAACAAAACAAATCAAGAACAACCCAAGCTGGTTTCCTGTAGCAAGAAGTTGATATTTATCTTTGTGTGGGGTGTCTACGTTTGGTCAAGGTTTTTGCCGACCCCCAACATTCATGTTTTCACCATAAACCCGTTCGGCCTTGAGGGGTCTGTCTTTTCTAGGGGAACCCCCCTAAAAAATGCACAAACAAACAAAGCACAAGAAAGAGTGGTGATGTGCTTTTTAGTGTCCTTTAAACATGAACAAAGGGTACCCTCGAGAAAAGAAACGCCCTTTTGGATCTTGTGGTTTATGGGCCCAGTGCTTTTCACAGGAAAACGGTGACCGCCCGCCCACCTGATGAGTTTGTGCGTCCAGAGTTGAGCCATTCAAGACTGCCGTAGGCGATGCCCAGAACAAATGTTTCAAAGCAGGGAGCACCGGCCAAACTGGCGGCTTTCCGGTTCAGCCTCTCAAACTTGTATCATCGAAGAAGACATCCCGTTTTTGCTCTTTTTTGTGTTTGATATATGTTTGTTTCTTTCTATGACCTCCTTTACCTGAGGCATGCCTCGGACAGTAAGATTTCGCTGGGCTCATTTGCCACACCAGTGCCTTCTCAGCGTGAGTCATGCAACGTGCGCATACATCCCTGTCATAGATCTTTGCTCTTCCATGTCCAACTCCTCCCAATCCCGACGGCTTTCTTGGTACCTTCACCTGCTTTCCAAATATCAATTCACCCTTTTCGCCAAAGCAAAAGACCATCACAAAATACTTCGGGATCCTTTCTTGCGATTTTAATCCCACTTCGTCATTCGCCCCTTCGCCCCTTCGCCAATCCAGACTCCTACGTCAGTGGACAGCCTGCTGTGCTTCTTGAAGCCGCAGGAGCCATCCCACTGCACCGTGTTTTGGGGTGGGGGGCAGTGGGGACAACTCCCGCAACAGTTGTTTTACCCCCGAATCAAAGGAGAAACCAAGAATTTGGGGAGTCCAACCACCACTTTGGACACACAACCAGGTGGCCATTTGGCAGAAGGTTGAAGAAGGTCTTGCCGTTTTCACCCTTTGACTGAGTTAATGACTGCGTGTTTCTATTCACAAGGGACCTCCAAACTGTTTGGTTTGCTTTCGGCTTCCCTTTGAAACAATCCAAACAGGGGGTGCTTATTTTGCGAGAGAGCGAGAGAGGTCAAACTTGTTTTGGTGCTCCATTGCAAGCCGCAAGATCTCTGCTGTTATTCTGATGTCCCGTGTCGCAGGATGATGTGAAGTACGATGACCTGGTTCTCCGCGTGAAGAAAGAGGCCGGCAAAGGGATGAAGCCGTTGGGGGCGTGTTCGTTTCATTGCCAAACATGAGATGGAGCAAGGCCCATTGACGGCTTTCTCCTTTTGGTTTCCCTTCAAAGCCACGATCGAAAAGGGTACAACAGGTGGGAACTCGTTTGGCAAGTAGTTGACCTTCTGGTTGCCATGAGTCACCTCCACACACGATGCCCAGGTCAGGTCGGCATGAGCCTCCAAACGTGGTCGCTGGCTGCGTCGGTTCGGGGTCATTCCCTATGCGGGTTCATTCCCTATACAAAGCACAACCATGAATCATAGATCCAAAAGTCCCGTTTCGGGTGTTAAAAACGGGGCGCGGTTTAGTTCAGGCTCAAGTTGATGCCAGGCTGTGAAGGAGATTCCTCGCTGGATGATGTGGGGGGCCCTGATGCAAGGTCCGTTTTTTTTTGGGGGGGGTAGAGTCGTTCGAACATGTCCGACTTTCCAGGACTCATCGGGCGGGATCCGGCGAATTTTGATCTGGAATCGCAAGTCTCGTAGGGCAAAAACGAAGGTTCTGCTTGAATGCGTGCAGCGACCTGCGAATGCCAGGATCCGGATCCTTTGCTCTTATGGCGTTTCTAGCAGCCAGCCAGACTTTCTAAGATGGCAACGGTTAAGATGACTTCTGGCTCACTCTGCTAACTTCAATCCACTCAGGTGGCACCTTTGCGCCGAAACTGAAAAAAACACAAAAAGCCACCGACCATTTCTAGCCGTTCGCCTTGAAGTTTGTTTGTCCCCAGCTTCATGGCCAGAAGCACAAGATAGGGTGCAAGGTAGGCATGGACACGTTTGAAAATGGACCCTTTGTGGGCAGTTAAAGGGAAAACAAAAGGAACCAACCCGGACAATCCTTCACACTCAATCGGATATTTTGCATAATTAACTGCAGGTTGGGCGAAGGCATTCAAGTGGCGCAGATGAGCATTGGGGTGCTTTAGGGCTAATGGGAAGGAGCTGTTGGCCCTTTTAGGGTGCGGCCTCCCTTTTGTTGGGTGGAGATTTCCCATTTCCTGGCTCCGCAAGCCCCTGAAAAGATGGCTGGGGGACATTAATCCCCACCTAAATGGTGTCCACCAAAGGGTTTCCTAATTAAGATTCACACCCAGGGATTTTCATATTCTAAGCCAAGAATTGTCCGATTCTAGCCCAAGCAATTTCATATTGTTTTCCAATAATGTTCATGCTTATATGAAAATCATGTTCCAACCCCTGCGCAAGCCAGGTTTTTTTCGTTATACAAAAAGCACCACACAGGGTGTCCACAGCCAGGAATCTTCGTATTTTAACCCAAACTCAAGGGGGATGTTCCAAGAAAGCCCCAGAATTTGGTCAGATCCTCAGGCCCAGCTACTTCAAGCCGCTTCCGCTGGACTGCTTCATGGGCGGTGAGTCTCGGAAGCTGAACCGCCGGAGGCCCCCTGGCTGATTCATGTTGATCCCAGATTAATCAACCCCTGTTTATTAATAGTTGTGGTGCCTTTTTTCTGGGTGAAATGTGGGGAATCAGACCGCTTTTGGAGGGGCCCCCAACCCCCTATGAATAAACCGGGCTTGATTAATATGGGGTCAGCCTTGCTACTTGGTCGGATCTTTGGACTGCTGTTTGATTGAAACAGGTCGGATGTTCCATTCCAAAACAGTTAAACAGGATGTAGAGGGGTCACCAGCAACCAAGACATGGCCGTGTCTTTTTGCCCGAATGCAGTTCCTGTCATAGAAAAGCGGTCTGGGAGTCAGCATGTGTTGGCCAGATGCGTCGCATTGCGTCGCATTGCGTCCGCAAGCGGTCGCCAGCGTCCGGTGGGAAAAGTTGCTGTGCCGTTGTGGAAGGCTCAGAATGTGCGAGCTGTATGATTTGCATTTTTTATTTGCGCCTGTGCGTGAATTGTAGCTTTTGCGACGTGTGTCGTTTCGCTGCGCAAGCGCAGTCTTTTGGAAGGTTGCGTGTTTGCGTAGCCGTGCGCAATGTGATTTGCGTCTCAGGGGTGGTCGCGTTGACACGATTTACTTGGCAGGCGCGTGCAGGCGTTTGCACGAGTATCATATTGTTGGGCTTGTCAAGCTTAAAGTTTGTGAAAATGGGTTAAACTCATGCTGGCGATGCCTGTGCCAATTTCAGACACGAGCCGCAAACATATCAAAGCTGCATTGCGTGATAGGCGCGGCGCTTGGAACATTGTTGAGGCCGCTGCAAGCTCACTTGAGCTGTGGTTGTTTTGCCTGCAAGCAAAAGTAGCAGGCGGGACATTGTTCTTGAAAATGTGCTTCACGCCGCGTGCGCGCAAGCCAGCGGAATACTTCGTGGAAGGGGTTCTGTCGCGGAAGGCTTGCAGAAGCTGTGTGTTTCGTTATATGATCAGTTTGTTTGTGTGCGCGGAAAAGCATGGGGGAACGAGAACAGTCTAAAGGTGCTGCTGCCAAGTGTATCACTTTCCCTACTTATGTGCGCGGAAGGTGAACAGAAGGAAATTATAAACAACATGAACCTATTGCCTTTGGAGGGTCACGTGCTGATTGCAGGGGCGGCACTTTGTAGGGTCGTGCGTTGAAATTCACGACTCGCTGGAGCGTTGGTTTTCGTGGCAGGCGCATCACGTTGGAGCGTAGATAGAATGGGTAGACAGATAAAGCTGCACGCAGAGATACGGACAGATAGAGAGATGGATAGGTACAACAAGCAGACGTGCAGAAAGACACGATGTAGGGTTCATTGATGGTCAGAAAACAAGTTAGATGTGATGGAGAGCTAGGTCGATCGCGGACCAGCTGTGACGGTACCAGCGAATCGGCTGAAAAGAAGACATCAAGTCAAATAAACAACGGAAGAAAGAAGCAGAGCAAGAAACAAAGATAATAATGGAAGGAAAGGACGCAAAGAAAGAACATGAAGGAAAGAGCAAAAGACAGGTAGACTGATAAAGAAAGAGAGGCCAATAATCATAAAACCTCGACGCATCAATAAAAATACAACGGTAGACCAATGGCGGATTCGTTGGACTAGACGGATAGGTGGATAAATGTACACATGGCAGGTAGATGCGTAAAAAGGTAGCTTGATAAATATCGAAGTCACCGGCCAGGCTGTCGGAGCTGGCGGACCTGAAGGCCCTGAAGGCAGGGGTCCAACTTGGTCTTTGGGGGTGGTTTGGGTCTTTGGGGAGCGTCCTTATGCTTTGGGGTCCTTAGTCCTTTGCTGGTCCTTTGCTTTCTTTGGGGGGGCTTTGGGGGTCTTGGCATCTTTGCGGTGCTTTGGAGGTTGTTTGCAGCGCTGTCCTTTGCATGTCCCTTTTGGCCTTTTTTTCTTTTTTTGGTTTTGTGTGTTTTTTAGGGGGCCCTTGGGGTCCTTTGGTTTTTGGGGGTCCTTTGCGCTTTTCTGGGGCAGGGTCTTTTGGGCTTTTCTATGTTTGACGCCACACCAAAACAGGGCACCATCAAAACCGGTTTCCCCTTAGCTGGTTGCGGAGCCGGGGGAGCAGAGCTGCCAGGAGTGCTGTAAGCGCGTAGTCTTGGTTTTCCTTACCACTCCAAAAGTCTTGGGCTGGTTGGAAGGCAAGCCAAAACTACCACGTCCTTACAGCTGTTAAACAGGGTGTCAAACAAAAAGGCGCCCGTATTTTTTCACGCCCTGCTTTTGAGGCTGGGTACCCTGGCTTGGAATGGTTTAAAAGGGAAACCGAAACGCCATTGTGCGATCCCCATATTGGGTACACACACATACACCCGCTTTGAACTACTTCAAGGGAAACACACCCTCGGGGCCCAAGTCACGGGCACCCTGCAGGTTGCTCAAGTCGCATATTCCTGGCGCAATATCCAGCCCTGGCCAATTAAGCGATCCAAGGAGAACACTACTTGCACTAAACAGGACCCCCCTTGCAACATATTTGGAGGGCCATTAATGTCTGGAGAAAGTTACATGGGCCATTGCTGTGGTACCCTGGCCGTTTGCGGCCCTTGCGTCCAAAGCCATACAGACTCACTATAAGAGACGTCAATGAGGATGTAATTCAACTTAGGGCCCCACACCGTGGATAGAAACAAACCCTGCACCACCTAAGACACCCTGGTTTCTGATGATTCCCCTGTAAATACCAAGAAACCATGGTGTCCACCATGGTTTCTTCGGTGCGAAATGGGTTTTCTCCGTCCACAGCATGGCCCATGTAATGAGAAGCTCGCCGCAGGAGGCGCAGCAAGCGTCGCAGCCCATGGTGCGGCCGCCCTCCCTGAACCTGCTGGATCGCGCGCGAAGCCAAGCCGGGCGTATGGATGGTACTGTGGATGGTTGCGAAATCCATTTCGCACCAGCTAGAAAGTGGTTGAAAGAATTGAATTAACAGACGGGGTTCCTTGCCTCGGGCTAGGGATGGTCTTCTGAATGTTTGATTTGCGAGCATACTGATAGTTGCAAATTCGTGTCTCTCATGCCACGAACTGAAGCCGGGGTTGAAACCATAACGTCTGTCGGTATTTACAGGGGAATCATGATTCCAGGGTTTCTAAGGTGGTGCAGGATTTCGTCCATCCACAGTAGCTCTTTGCATGGTCTTTGGTGTGACCCCGATGCCAAAAAGGCCCACCGATTGGTGAATTTAAAGATGGCTTCTACCCCCAAAGCAGACCCACGTCCATGGGAGGGTGCTTTTTAAGATTAGGCACCCGCAAAGAAAGACACCCATATACAGCCACTATCAACATGATTGCCTGGTTTCTGGTGGGGTCAGATGCCCATCTCAAATCAGGGGGGCAGTACTTTGGGTTTTCAACTTCGGGGACCATTTATTGGCTGGTTTGGAAGGGAAACCCCAAATGTTGAGAGACCCCCCATATGTTGTGAATTGCATTGACAAACATGCAGCTGACTGTGAACCAGCGCCCAGCCGTTTTTGTGTGGCTTGGATGGCGAACTCTTTCTCCTGCCTGCGCATGCAGGAAGAAACCAGCGTGCGGGGCAATGTGAAGGCAGTTTGGGCAAAGGCGCGCCGGAGAGTTGGCGCGATGTCTCGTCATCTTTTGTCAAGTACCATTGGATTTACTCCAGAAATTCCCACTAGGCAATGAGAGTTACTCACCAGTCCAGTTTGGGGCATACCAGAAGTTGGACTTTCTCAAAATGGTGGACCCCTTTTGGTATTCAAGCCAAACCAACCGGAAGCCAGCACCCAAATCCATGGCTCGAATTCGTTTCCTTGAGCTCGGAGGTGCTCAGCCTGTCCATTGACATGGTTGATCCAGAGGACCGGCTTCAGAGATGTCCCCCAAGCGTCTTAAACCCTAGCCTAGGGTGCGCAACCTATGTAACTTGCCAGTTCGATAGGCAGGGAATGAGGGAATGACCCCTATAAACCATCCCTGTGGCTTCCTTTAAGGGAATCCCACGGTTCATTCCCGACACCCGGACTCGTTGTCATTCCCTACTTGGTTTTAGAAGCCACACCCAATAGACAACCACAGCAGGCTTTCCCGTAGCTTGGAAGGGAGCCTCGAAGCCAGTGCCATGTGCCTAAGAAACAGGCTTTGGGAGCCAGGAGTTGTGGTTAGGGACATGGTAGCCTAAGGGATGGATGAGCAAATGGGATAAACCATCTGACGCAGGTCGATAGCCAGCATTTACAGTGTGCAGACCTGCATTTTCAGCGCCTCCGTTTCTTTAGCCAGTCAGAGAAATGTCCACTTCAATTCTAGCTGTTGAATGAGCAGCGGAACGGTGGATTGACTGAAAGGCACATCCAGGCATTCCTCCGAGAATCAGCTCTGGTGAAACTGGCTATCCTTGACCGACGTGCCACTAGCCATTCATTCCAAATGCTCCTTTACGAGAATGATCAGCATTGACATTGATCGACTTGTTTCTAAACATCACGACGTTGAAGTTCTGCAACGGCAATGCATGTTTTCTTTCAGTATGACTACAGATTTGAGCACAGCGTGCCTTTCCTCAGATGGCCCAATCTTGTTTCAATCCGTCGCGTAGTGCAAGGGTTTGTTACGATCACCCTCGAATCCGTGGTTGCTTTGCTTCAAGGGAGAAGCGCGAAGATGCTCAAAGGGGTTGTCAAAGTGTCCGGCGGATCAATGTAAATGTGAAGAAGCAGCAAACAGAAAAGAAAGACATATCTGATCTGCGCACGTGTGCTTACAGGCACCTATCTTCCCACCAAACCCCCACTCCCCCAAACCCCAAAATCGACCAACTTTCCTGTGGTCGCCATTGTCATCAACGTTGCTGGCTGTTTCTAGCCAACTGAGCCACTTGGATTTGACATGGTCAAGAGGGGGTTGGTTTGGATGGTCCCGAACCCCTGTATAGGGAAGTGCGACCACCACTATAAGGATTCCCACACAAAGAACCATTACCGTGACCAGCCATACTGAGTTTTGACCGGGAAACAAGGCAGCAACGACTTTCAGGGGCTCCCAAATTGGAGAAACACTCAGATGTTTCAATCACGTGAACCGCTCATGTCCTTACCAAAAGGGAACCTTTCGCCTCAACAAGCACACAGCCCAACTATCCTGGTTTCTTTCATTTCAGTGGGTTATGGCTTCCCAATACCCATTTTTTACCAAACAAATGAAAGGGGCCTAACCATATAGGTGTCCTTGTTGGTTGTTTTGGTAGAAAGATAGATGGCCCTGGTTTACCTGGTGGTTTGATCATCTACCAGGGAAACCCATCTATTTCCCCTAGAAGGACACCTATGCGAAGCCCTCAGGTTCCCTCGCTCTCGCTCCAGCGAGGAGAACTTCTTCGACCTGGGGGGCCACTCGGCGCTGGCGGCGAAGATGGCCACGGAGCTGTCCGGGGAGCACCACTTGCCCGTCTCGGCGTCTCGGCGCGGAGAAGAAAAAAAAAAACGCCTCGCGGAGGTTCGGCGGATGTTTTTTTTTGTACTGTGGATGGTGGCGAAATCCATTTTGCACCACGTTGATACCATGGGAAACCAGTATTTGCTGGTATTTACAGGGAGATGATCATTCCAGGGTCTCTTTGGTGGTGCAGGATTTCGTCCATCCACAGTATATAGGGGTGCGGAATGTGTGGGTTTCCTGAGTTGGTGGTTTGGATTTTGTGGTTTGAATTTGAATTTGACGATCTTTCGCCTTTAAAGGTTGGTCCTCCCCAATCGGGGTTGTCCATGTGCCTTATGCGCTCAGCCATCGCCTCGGCTGAGCGCACACTTTTGCAGTTCACGGCATCCCGCCCTGTCCGCTCAGCAAATGACCTGAGCAGGCCCATGCGGTAGAGACCTCTGAGGAACACGTGCCACACTGGTTTGCCGTGTGCACGTTGAGCGCCGTGCGAGTGAATTTGAATTTGAACCCCTTCTTGTAGAGAGTAAATGAGAATCCACTTCGGCGTGTTTTCGCGGGCGTGTGGCAATGGCTGCGAGTTTGTCGCTTGCTATTTGCGGTTTGGGATCGATTTCAGACTGACTTACGCAGGGGTTGTAATGCTTGTTTTTTCGGCGGAGTTTGGTGGGATGTACTTGAGAGATCTTGAGAGAAGCGGATGTTCATGTATGGCCCATTGATCGATTTGA